TGTTGTGAGTTACTTTTTCCTTCCCCTTCAGGACCAGCGCTAGCTGTGCAGGCTCCCGCAGTTCTTCCACAAGCAGCGAACGACGCCGGCGAAAGTCGGGACGAGGCGCCGAGCCTGTTGGATAGCCTCCTGTGGATGGCGGCGCCCAAGAAAAGACGCACGATCGAGGTGAACCGCTGCAGGCGGAGGAATCCCAACAAGCTCATAAAAGTGAAGGTAATCAGCAGGTTTCCGCCATCGCCACTGCAAGTCGCAGACAAAAAAGCCAGAATAAAATTTGCACCGGTGGTTTTTCATCGTGCTTGCTTTAGGGAATTGTTGCAGTGGTCAGTACTGAGTGGAAAAGCTTTTACTGGGATTTGTATAAACAAATAAGCTTAAAAGACACTGTGATTTTAAAATACGGTGTGACAGGTGTGTTCAAGCAGTAGTCTGAGGGTAAATAAACAGTGGCAGTTCAGGTGCAAGCCAGCAAAATGTGAGTTTTAGCTGAACTCTTGAGTGAAAAAAGTCTACACTTCCTGTGCATCTAATTAAGCCCATTGGTCTTTAGTCTTCCAAACATCAGTGGGCAATAATGATTTAGGTACTGAGTTCATAGGCTGTTTTTAGCAGTAAGCATCTGCCATAACAACACGTTACAGAAAAATTGCATAGAAGAATATATTTTTAAATGTTAGTTGAATTTCTCTGGGGTTTCATCTGGCTTTTTCACTGGTTCGTGATTGCTCCCTGTTCCTTACGTTGCTGTTTTCCACTGTCGTTTTAGAGGAACATTGATGTTTGTCCTGAGTGTGGAAACTTGAAACAGAAACACGTCCTTTGTGGCTATTGCTATGCAAAGGTCAAAGCAGAAACTCGGTTGGTACGGATAGAAATAGCTAAAAAGGAAGGAGGACCCTTTAACACTCCAACTGTAGAGACTGTTGTCCTTTATGAGGGAGAAAAGTGCTCAGAGAAGGATGAAGGCAAGCGGATCATTGAAAGAGCTAGGAAGCGTCCGTCTTGGTTTGTTCAAAACTGATGCTGTGGAATCTGTGCTAACCAAACCAACTGCTGCAGCAAGAAAAAATAATGATTTTCGACCATGCGTTCCTCATTCGCCGAGTTTTGATAGAGAGCACCTGTGAACTTGAGGGAAGTCTGATATGCGTGTCATGCCATGTGATTTTGCAGTTGGGGGTTGTTTCTGTAGTATACAGTGGGAAATGCCTCTCGGTGATACATCACAGCAGTCAACAAAGAGAAACCAGGATCTGCCTTGAATCTGGACATCTGCATGCAGCACACGGAGTCGTTTGTGTGCTATTGTTCTATGCTGATTTTGTTCCTGACGTTATTTTTACAAAGGTAAAACATTCACAGGTGTACAATAAACCGTGTTAAGTTTCCCAAGGATATCCACTTTCTGGTTTTGGCTGCTTTTCTTTTGGAGGGGAAAAAATGTGTTGAGTACCAATGCTGGTTATAAACAAAGGATATTTACAAGGAAAGATACAGCTGTTTGTTTATTTCCATGGTCTGGATTTCTCCACAATGCTGCTGTTGGTTGCCACATGGTGTTTGCTCTCTTTCTGCACTGGACTGAAGGTTAAGCATTCCTCATTGTCAGTACGCAAAACAGTTGTCTGTCTTAAAGGGATATGGAAAGCCTATTTCCCCCCTTCAAAGTGCACTTGATTTCTTGAGAAAAATAACAAATTGAAGTGTAATGACTAGAAATGTCTAACTTTGACAAAGGTCAGGGCTGGCTCTTTGCAGTCATTGCCATTAAGTAGTTTGGGGGGTCAGTGTGCTTCAAAATCCACAAACAGCTGCAGTGCCTTCACCTGGAGTCCTCTGGGGAGAAAGGACAGCTCTAGCCTCCGCTGTCCATTGTCACCCTGCAGTGGTGCAGTTACAGCACTTCACTGTGGGTCTTCACTTTGACCTTAACTGCACAGTAGCACCATTGCATTTAAGATATAAGACTCTTCAATTTTTGTTTGGGATTTCAGCTAAATTATCTTGGATTTGGAGTCATGGGTTAATTGCTTAGAAACACAGAGGTACCATTAAAAGAAAAGGCCTATTTTTCTCTAAAACACAAGAGGGGACATGATTTCTGCTAATGGAGTAATAATTATAATTGGTAGTACGTTGCATTAGTTCATTGCATTGCAGTGCTGGTGAAGCAATGAAGATGCTTTACAGATAGAGTCCTTATGAAACATGAATGAAGTTAGGCTGTGTCAGCACAACATATTGTGCCAGGTTATGGTTCCTACTAGAAGGAATCCTATTAGGTTATGGCTCTAGACAATAGTGGGGAGGTCAAGAGAGCTGGTTGATACTCAAGCATCCAAGGTCAGGATCAGTACATCTCTATGGGTAAGAAATCAAGCAATGGGGGCAGAATACCTGCATGGATGAGTGAGAAGCTTCTGGCAAAACATAAAGAAAGAGAAGAAGGAAGTTTATGGAATGTGGAGAAAGGGACAGGGCACTTAGGCACTTGGGAGGGACATAGGAATGTTCTCAGAAATGTGATGTGGAAGGCTAAGGTCCATTTGGAACTAAATCTAGCAAGGGATGTCAAGGACAAGAGGGGTTCCTTCAAGTACATCTCTAGCAAAAGGAAGACTAGAGAAAATGTGGCAAAGGATACAGAGAAGTTGGAATCACTGTCTTTTGCTTCAGTCTTTACTGCTAAGGCAGCCCTCAAGAGTCCCTGACCCCTGACAAGAGAGAAAGTTTGGAGAAAGGAATATTTCATCTTGATTGAGGCGGATCAGGTTAGAATCATTTAGGCAAACTTGATACCCACTAATCCATGGGCCCTGATGGGATGCACCTTCACAGGAAGATGTTATTGATAAACCACTCTCCATCATCTTTGTAAGATCATGGAGAAGAGGAGAGGTGCCTGAGGACTAGAGGAACTGCAAAAAGAGCAAGAAGAAGGACCCAGGGAACCACAGGCCAGTTAGCCTCACCTTAATCCTGGGAAAGGTGATGGAATGGCTCATCCCGGTTGTTATCTCTAAGCATGCAGAGAACAAGAAGGTTATCACAAATAGTCAACATGGATTCACCAAGGGAAAATCATATATTAGTACTGCATTTGTGCAGTCCACACAAGAGGAGATGGCTGATAATGTTTCGCAGTGGTTTCTGAGTAATGTGAGGGGAAAAGTCCTTAAAATATCTGGTATTCATGGTGTTGAAAAGAAAGATTAGAACCAACTGACAAGTACTGGAGATTTGTATATGCAATTGATATAGTACCAGTTAATCTTTCATACGAGAAATTATCTTCAGTGAGATTCAGAGCAGTTTAGTTTGAATTACTCTTCCTTCAGAAGAAGAGCAAATGAAAGCTCACTTTCATAGCTTCTTTGTACTAACTCTGACAATCCAAAGCTCCATTTAAAAAAATTTGAAAAAATTAAAATTCCTTTAGAATCTGTGGCATAGTGACTTGAAATAACCCTGTTTGTATGAAATTTTGAAAGAAATATAAATTGCAATAATGCTAAGACAGTAACATGCACTTTTTGAAAGTGTCAGTTAAAATTAACAAAAGACAACAAGCTGATTGTTGCAATGCTCTGCTTTAGAATCCATTTAAAAACAAAAATGCATCAGTAAGCTTTAGAATCCATTTAAAAACAAAAATTAAATGCATCAGTATTTTCGCTTTGATACTATGACTACCTGCTATTATTGAAATACACCTTTTTTTGTCTGAAACATTCATAGATTTGAATACATGTTATATTTGATTATATTTTTTCTATAAGGATTGTATGAAAAAGTAATTTTATTTTACATTTCAGAAAGATCCAGGAAGATGATGTAATGTTCTAAAATATAAGGATGCAGTTTGCTAAACGATTTTATATCATACTAAGCTCTGTAGACATAGAGGTGATCTCTGCCAGTGATCAACTATAATATCCAGAGGCTGATAAACCAAGTTTATCATTAATCACCTACTTAGCAAGGAAATGGTAATAAAATGTTTCTACACAGTCTTCATCCATTCTGTTGAACAAACTGTGCCATCAGGAGCTGGCGTTTGACATGAAATACCCTTCTGCAAAGCACTAGGTGGCAGAGCAGTGTAGCTTTCAGGGAGGTGCAATGGAAAAGCCCAAGATCACAAGTGAGATAGGAAAACTGTCAGATTCAATTCGCACCTGTGTAAGCAAAATATGTGCGAAAACACTGAATTTGATAAATACCAAGAAAAATACAAATATAAACTAATATATTGTAATTAATTGTTCCAGCTGTATTTAATCCAGTTTACACAGTGAACTACTGCACTGGCTTTTGTGTATATTTATGCACTTCTGCTTTTGCTGGATGAATTATTTGAAATTGCAGTTGTTCTCATCATTTTTCACAGAATCACAGAATCATTAAGGTTGGAAAAGACCTCTGAGATATATTCAGTTAGTTGACATTTTATTTATGCAGCTAGAAAATCCTAAACATAATAGATTTGGTAGCATTCCAATGAATTTAAAGGTACAGCTGTCTTGAATTCATAGAGTCATAAGGATCAATTTGCAACAGCAGACAGAAGCTGAAAAGTAAAGGAAACCAATGCTGTCTTTAAAGGAATATTAGTTGCTCTGAAGGGAACAGATTTCGTGCTCCATCAAAGTTTTAAAATGTTTTGGAAGCTCATGAGTGATAAAGGTGCCTTTGTCTTTAGAACTTGTTAAGTAATGTTTAGATAAGCTATTAGCAAAAATCCTTCTTTTACCTCACATGACTGCATTGTGTAGTGTTTATACAGTGAAAGAGGATGAGCTCTTCCAAACACCCTGCTTCACTCTTAACCTGCCAAAGACTTAAGAATTGGGCCAAACAGGAGGAAAATCCTTTGAAAGGAAGTAGACTTGATGGAGTGATGGATCAGCAGTGATGGATCAGCAGTTTGTGTACTCTTAGGTATATTTGTAGGAGATGCTGTTGAAGTCAGTGGGGTATAATTCAAGGCAGAATTTGGTCCAATATACTGAAACCCTGGGCATATGGATGTAGGCAAGTATATGTACTTTTAATGCAGAGCATATACCTGGGAAACTACTGCTGGATACCAACCAGATTTGGTTGACAGCTGAAAACTAAGATTACTTTTGATGAATGTAGTAAATTGAATCTAATCAGTCGATAGTTGAATTTCTTTCAGATATCCTATATTTCAGTTTTCCCTGGTTCAGGACAATATATAGAAGAAAGGGTATAGGATTCATTTCATATTAAATGTACAGGATAAGCCTATGGAAAGCCATTCTGAAACTGGAGCAGAAGACTCAAAAGAAAGCTTTTGTGGAGTTGTCAACATACAATATTTGGCAGGGATTTCTCTAAAGTGCCACTGTTAGATCATGTGATTTTAATTTTTTTTCAATTTAGCAGATTTCCTGGTTCTGAGATCATGGGTCAAAGATGAAGAAGTGAAGATTTGGAAAAGCACTCGATAGAAATCCAGTCCTATATTATTATTTTCAAAACTGTCATACCTTTTAAACCAGTCCTATGATTTTGAAAAGTTGGGATATACTTAGTGTGTTCTGATCATCCAAATACACAAACATCTGATGGTTTCCTTTGTCCTTCTTCGAAGGACACAGACTCTTCTCTATAAAAGATGATTCTGATGGAGTTGGTCTCACTACACAAGTGTTTAGAAATGTTCTGACATGTCCTGGGTGTAAGCTAGATTAACCCTTAAATTTGGAACCAGCTCATGAGTCTCAAGAGAATAGGCACATTAAATGTAGCCTGTGTCCTGGTATAGGGAGGACAATCACCTCCTACTTACAGAGCTGCCAGCTTTTACATCCATTCCCAAGGTATACTAATGCTGTTTCTATTCCCAGCCCCATCACACAGGCTCATCAGCTTGTCTAGCAATATGGCTTACAGCTCTGTTTTCCATTATGCTGCAGCTGTAAAGCACATTACGTGACATACTTCCAGTGGAACTAAGGATTTTGAACAGGCTGTTGGAAAGATATTTATTTC